TATATAATATGTGTGTGTGTGTGTGTGTGTGTGTGTGTGTGTGTGTGTGTGTGTGTGTGTGTGTGTGTGTGTTTATTTTTCATCTGTTATAACTTTTTGTTTGATATAACAAAATTAATAGAGTTGATAAAATGTAGAATTAATTTTCTCATATTTCGAAAGAAATGCAATTATAATTGATTTGTTCTTGATATAATTTTATAATATTATCTATGTTAAGTATTATATAGTCAATTCTCTCGGTCTTATTTTAACCGGCCATATTTTTGAGATTTTTGTTAAAACTTTTCAATAAATACTAGAAATGTAATAGAAAATTATTTCATGTTCTACCCTTGACTATAATTTCTTTTGCGTTTTAGTTAACTTTTGATCATCTTTACTTCATACGATCGTCTATCAGTTTAATTTTTTTATATAAATAAATGTACAATAAACATTTATAATAAATATATACATATATTTATATTTTTTGCTTAATTTATTATTCTATAAATGGTATTTTGTACATTCGGATTAATTCAGTGGCCATTCTTTTATCCTTAATTGATCATTAATTTGTTCAAATTTAAATTAATCTATTTTTATTTAAATCTGAATATGTACAAATACACACACATACAAAGTGTATATATAATCATAAATTTATATGATTATATATATTATATATGAACAATTTTTTTCTCATCATGTTAAAACTTAACTTTTTATTAAAAAATCAACGCGAGAATTATCTTTTTTATTTTCTCATTATTACTACTATTTTTCTTATCAAATTTTACAAAAGAAAGAAATTAACATGAACATATATGGACATATTTCGTACATATATTTATATATGTTTATATATATTTATATATAAACATTTATAATTATATAATTTATAAATGTTCTTACATAAAAAATTCTTTTAAATATATCCACATAATTACAGATTGCAAATTTCATGCAAGAGTTTGTCATACAATTTCATAAATATTTTTTATCGAGATACATAAGCGAGACGAATCTCTCAAGGCTTATCACTTTGTTTTATCATTTTGTTTAAATGAAATAGGATCTCATTTTTACAATTTATATCAAGAGCGAACTTATACTTGTACTATTAAAAAGGATGATATTTAAATAAAAATAGACTTGTTAACGGCAGAATTAAAAAAAGAAATTGACAAAAATAAAAGCAATTGCGAAATTCTGATCTCGTAACTAATGATGCAACTTTGTCTCATCCAAAAGAATCATAATCACTAACCTTCGATTAATTTCGATAAATTCATCTGAAATAACAGGGGGTATCGCACGTAGCAGTGAAATCTTACACGGTGGTAGGTCAATGGGTCGTCGCCGATAAAGTCTTTGTTCGATACAATTTTGGTATAAAAGAGCCGCATCGCAGGATAAACAGCGGCAAACGGCATTGACAGCATCACAATGAGGTGCGCGATCGTTCTACTGACTCTGGCAGCTTTTGGGGCAGCTCTACCCCCTCAGCAGCAGAGACAACGTGCTGGTAAGTAATCGTTATTTTCTTCGAAAGTATTTTTTTTTCACATTTCTTTTATTCCTTTCTATTTGCCTATCTTGTACTATTTTTCTATTAAAGAACTGTATTTTTTAAAAGAATATTCACCGCTTTATTTACGTGTGATTTAACTCTTACAACGCTTACTGTTAAGCGTTTTGTATCTAAACTATTAAGTATCCTTAAATATCCTAAACTATTAACTATTAAGTTAATATTTATCTAATAGACAATATTAATGAAATGTCAATGATGCGATACAGCGTACAATTTAAAAAAATACAAATATGATAATTTCTTTATTCTCTTTTAGCTGATCAAAATCTTTTGAAGAAGCAACAAGACTGTATAGTGTTGCTACAACAGATTACCCAAGAAATCCCGAACGAACAGCTGCAGATCCTTGGTACCACTTATGACATCCAGAACAACTATCATCAGTATGAAAATCCAATCCTCGTCAGATACTATGTGGGCGCTGTACAGGCCGGTCTGGTTCAACCAAGAGGCACTGTTTACTCGAATTCCATCAGCTATCTGCGCAAGGAAATTTCCCTCTTGCACAGAATCTTGTTAGGCACCAGGAACTACCAAACATTCCTGGCAACTGCCGCATGGGCTCGCCTTCGCGTTAACGAAGGACAATTCGCCCAAGCCTTTATTGGAACCGTTCTTCAACATCCGGAGACACAGGGTGTCATCTTACCGCCTCTGTATGAAATCATTCCCCAATACTATTTCGATGCTAGGATCATCCAAGAAGCCCAAAATGTTGTTGCACAAGGTCTTGGTTACAATCAAGTTGTAATTCCTGTCAACTATTCCTCCCACTTATCCGACAGTGAACATCAACTTTCTTACTTCACGCAGGATGTTGGTCTTGCTAATTACTACGGTTATATGAATCTCGCTAGATATATGCCGCAACAGGTAAATACTTGTCTCAATTGATAATTTTAGACATACATAATTAGGAAATAGTTTATAAAATAAGAAAAAATGTATTGGTGGAGGAGTTAAATATAGCGTTCGACTGCTGCGTTTTCAGACCATAAGTAAACGGCAGTAGTTATGAATGAAAATTTAGAAATTATTTGCTTGAATTCATTTAATTAAATTAAAAAAATATACACGTGTTCAAAATCTTTCTCGATCGTATATGAATACGAATCTTTATTGTCGATATTAATTTTATTAAAATTCACACCATATTGAGATTCTTTAAATATAACTTCAGCAGGAACACCAATCGCCTCTACAATATCAACAACAAAATATTCAGAATCAGGAAAATCAGATTGGTCAAGGATCCATTTACTATTATCTTCACCAACAATTATTAGCTCATTACGAACTGAATCGTCTCTCGAACGGATTGGGCCCAATCCAGAATACTGATTATGTCAACGTACAAGCGCCGTATCAACCGCATCTCCGTTACACAAACGGACTCGAGTTCCCTGGACGTCCTCAGCATCTTCAACTCAGTCCTTCTAGGAATCAACTTAGCCAACTTGTCCAAAGGCTTGAACAAAGACTGATGGAAGCTATTGACTCTGGACATGTCATTACTCCGCAAGGCACTTTTCTCTCTCTCTATCAACCTCAAGGTCTGAATATCCTTGGAGAGCTTATTCAAGGAACTGGCAGGAGCGTGAATCCAAGGTTAATTTTTTATTCGACTAATCATTTGACTAATCAAGTGACATATCATGTTACAATATTTACGCAATAATATTTTCTATTGTAGATACTATGGCAGTCTTCAGGCCGCTGCGCGTCAACTTCTCGGCAATGCTCCTGAAGTACAAAACATTTATGATTATACTCCTTCTGTTTTGGAATTGGAACAAATCGCTGTTCGCGATCCAGCTTTCTACCAACTCTATCAGAGAATTATTCATCTGTTCACGCAGTATCAGAATTCTCTGCCCGCATACCAATATAATGACATCCTTCTACCAGGCGTTAGCATCCAGAATGTTCAAATCAGTCCATTAGTGACTCTCTTCAACAATTATTATGTTGATCTTGATGGAGTTACTCAGCAACAAGTTCATCACCAACAGCAGCAGCAGCAGCAGCAGCAGCAGCAGCAAGTTCAGCAACAGCAGCAGCAGCAGCAGCAAGTCCAGCAACAGCAGCAAGTCCAGCAACAGCAGCAGCAGCAGCAAGTCCAGCAACAACAGCAACAGCAACAGCAGCAGCATATTCAAGCGCAAGTGAGGAGATTAGATCATAAACCGTACGAGTACCAGATCATTGTTCAAAGCGAACAGAATGTTGCCGGAGCCGTCGTGCGTGTCTATATGGGACCAAAATACGATTATCGAGGCGAACCCATTAGTATCTCTCATCATAGGCATCAATTCGTCCAACTCG